CGAAGTTTTGCCATTTAATTTGGAAACACCCTGTATAGTATACGGTATTTATCTAAAAATTAAGTACATATATTCAAGCTTAAAATTAATTACTTTTTGTAGAGAAAATTTAGATCCATTTTCGGAACACGAGGATCAAGAAATCTGGCGAGCCTTGGAGCTTTCGCAAATCAAGGATGTGATAGCTTCGCATCCCGAGGGACTGAGTACGCAATATTATAATATAATATGCGTAAAATTAATACGATAAAAAACATAATGCAGTACGTTCAAAATAACAATGTAATATAATTGAAATTAACTTTGATGTAGGTCTCGAGGTACGAGAAGGCGGCGAGAACTTTTCAACAGGTCAGCTACAACTGCTTTGCATGGCACGTGCAATCCTTCAACGATCGAGTATCGTCGTCCTCGATGAAGCGACTAGCGCACTTGATATAGCCACTGAGAAATCACTTCTAAAAGCGGCTGCTGTCGCTTTCGAGGACAGAACCGTAATCACCATTGCGGTTAGTAATTAGCGTTCGATAAATTGAATGTACATTTGCTAAATGAATAACCGATGTATTCCATCAATGTTGAATCAACTAGCCTTTTATTACAATTTAATCGATTATTCTCCGATTATATCAAACTGTTAATTAAATGTTGAGTCTACGTACTTGCTAAATATAAAGTTACTTATCTCTTGAATTCTTAAATGCCATGCAGGAATAAATTTGAAATTTTATAATACAGATTATTATAATATATTGATATCAGTTAAATATATTTTAAGCTTGATAGTAATAAACATTTCTTATCAATAAACTGAAAAAATGAAAAGGGTGTTTTTTAATATTTTCTAAAATTTTTATGCTTGAAAGTTGAATCTCTCTCATTAGATAAAGATAATATTTTAACAAAACTGTTTTCTGTTTGCAGCATCGAGCAGCGGCTTTGTTATATTGCGATCGCATCGTTGTTTTCGACGAGGGCAAAATCATCGAAGAGGGCTCACCGACAGATTTAATGCAAAGACAGAACGGAGTCTTTTCCGCAATGATCAAAGCGGTCGAGCAAAGCAGCGAACAACGATGAGAGGAACCGTGAAAGAATGTCAATTAACTTCACTAATATACACACGGAGAAAACGTTCTTACTGAAATAGCTATCTAAAAATTTCAACAAAGTCGTTTTTTCCATATAATATCGATTTAAATCTTAAGATAAAAATTCTAAGACTGCTTTAGGATATAAAGTCTCTATACGTTATAGGAATATACATATACTGATATATACATGTGACAAAGTTTTATTTTTTATATTAATCTTATGCGTGACTAATTTGTTAGTTTTATACAATATCCTAATTTGGTATTATAAATATATTATAAATTGTAATTTGTAAATATATAAAAGGTGATAATCGAGTTGTACTTGATGATGTGAACGCGACGCCCGGTATATTGCAGAATAAGAGTCCCAAACGATAATAATTACCAATATCCCCACGTCGTCGACTGTATCTACCACTGCAGAAAAGGTGAGCATGTTTTTCTGTTAGTGGCATCGAGGCCGGCCTGTCGATAGCACCGGAGTTGTTTCACTTATCAGCACTTTTTGACTCTGATCGACAGCGATGCCGATAAGCCTGACAAGCGTGGAATTTTATATAAGGAAAAAAGCTAAGTGAACGTTTTATTGGTACAATTGTTTCATAAATCATCGCGTGAGAGAATTACTTTCGTCGGACGTACCTAATAAATTAATTAAAAAGGTGGTGAATTTTCAACTCTTTTAACTTGAAACAAAAGAGTTATTTTACCGCGTTATGTATAATTTGCAACAAATATACGGCAATAATTATCGGTAAAATTTTAATCTAACAATGAATCTGAATGTTCGATGCTCAAGTCATGTGACTTTATTAAACAATCAAGTATTTAATTCAAGTGACAGTTGAAATTTGCAGTGACAAATGATCATCGTATGATTACAAACAATTCGATAAAAAGAATGCAAGAATGTAGCTATTAATGTGTCTTAAGAATAATGCTATTTTTCTAAAGTGAAACATTTAACACTTTATTGTGCACCGATACAAGATCATAGAGAGATTAGCGAGAATCGTAAAGTTTGAGAGGTGAGTATTTCTAGAAAATTGACACATGCGTTATTAGCAAATTTTTTTTCTATGAGACAGAATATTAATAGATCTTTATATTTTGATATGTAAGTTTCTATGCTTTTCTCTCTCCTTCTCTCTCTAAAATTCAAAGAAATAATATAACGTTAATATGATATGATTTATTTATTGACTGATTAGCTATTGTAGGAAATCTCAGATAAAATAAACTAAATTATCTTCAAACAACGGATATTAAGTTCTAGGGAATAAAGCCATCCCCTTTGTTTGCTTAATGTTGCTATCTAATTGTCAATAAAAAAAGGCGAATGATAAGAAAGAAGAGTGATTGTTCTTTTTGATGAATTAAAGCGGATAGACAATAACGAAAATATGACCATTTAAGGAGGTTTGATGAAATATAAGACAAGTCGATCTATAAGATATATGCAATACAAGAGTTAATCATATCAACATCTAGAAAAAATTTGATTGATATTTACCGTACCGTTTTGAAGATATTTAATTCTAAATTTCTAGATTTTTACACCACAAGAAGATGTATAACCTTATTCTGAAGATATTTTCTCCTAAATTGAGACCTTTCCATATAAGACAGAAATTTAAAAATCATTATAGTTACAAAATAAACACTTACATTCATTCTGATAAAGTTTCATCTAAATTGACCGTACAGTTTAAGAGTATTGTATTGTAAAAAAGTACATCATTTTTATATATATGTAATGATAAAGGTGCATAGCTGGCACCAAAGATCTTCAACTAATTTGTTAATTTCTATTATACGTCGACCTTGAATGCAATTATCCAGAATTGTCTTTTCTGAAGACAATTTTCTTTTTTTGGCTGCTTGACTAACATTGTTCTTCCACTCTAGTTGTTTTTGAGTAATAAAGAGACCTTTACGTGGTTGACTTTTACAACTCATATTTTTTTCTTTAAGGAATAACCAGGAAAACTCTTTCAAGCACAAACGTATTTGTACTAAATACGTGCGCCGCACGTATTACCAACTCTTAAATAATACGATATATGCCAAATTTAACACGAACTATAAAGTTTTGTACATTTAATGTAATAAGTAAAAATATAATAAATTTATAATAAAAATTATTAATTTATACATTTTTAGTTCAGATTATGCTAAATTTATTATATCTAAAGCATAATAATAAATAAATATCATGTTCATTCCTAAATTCCTGCTATTAGTACTAGCGTCAAATGAACATCTTATAACATTTATTTTATCATTTTTAAAATATTTAATAACATATAAAGTTAACAATGATTATGTATAATGACATTAGCAAGTTAGATATTATTGATAACGATTTTATATTATTATTTTAATCATTTTACATAATTTTACGAATAAATCGTCTATTGACTAAAAAGTAGTGCGAGAACCTCCTATAAGTGGATATATTCTAGTTATCGCAAGAAAAATATAATAAAGAATTAAAATAGGAGCGCACCGGTCGAGGTGCTAAAAAAAGCGTATAAATAATGATAAAGACTCGTGATAAGAGATCATCATTACGCAGATAAGAATGAAGGAAACATAAAAACAAATGAGATCAGAAGAAAATTTTTTTTAGTTTATTAACTCACAGATAATCGCGTTGGTAAACTAAAAGAGTCTTTTGTTGCAATTGTTAAGTGTAGTTGACAATAGAGCTAATTGTTTAAAATGTTTCTTTCAAAACGAAAAAATGTTTTTCGAAGGTTTCTTAATTGCTCTTGACAACATTAACAATAGAATATGTTCAAACAATATCTTCAAACATAATAGTATTTATGTTGCAATACTTAATAAACATTACTTGGAATATTCCTTTTAATTGCTTATGTTGTCACATAAAGAAAGTGAAACTTCATTTTCTTTACATCATTATTTGATGCTCAGGGCAGAAAGGCTGACTTATAATCTTAAGACAGTTCTTGTACGTTTTACTAAAGACAAGACTTAAGTCATAAAACACTATCTTAAGATTATAAGTCAGCCATTCTGCCCTAAGAGTAATTTTAATTTTACTAATTTAATTACTGTCACTGACGTGTATTAAAATTTTGCGATAAAACATCGTTGTCTTAGATAATGAACTATCTTGATGTTACACCTTTATATTGAAAACTTTGGACGCACAATTTTTGTTCATTAATGTAAGAGTGAAAATCGTTGCTGAATCAGCATGATAGCACACACAAGCAGATATTACTATATTCGAGAAACATTTATCTTATGTTCAAATATTTTACTTTAAAAGTGTATAATCCTTGGAAAAGTGTATAATGACGATATAAATTGTAAATCAATAAAACCAATTAGCATTTTAATCTTCGAATTGCAGCAACACTCAAACTAATAGAATAAATCAATATTATTTCCAATTTAAACGAAACATTGTTTCATCTAATAAAAAATATCATTTAGAACAAAAAAAATGTACAATAAATACGTAGTTTTAAATTGAAATTAATTATCAGAGTGTTTTGTGTAAAAACTTAAACTTAATTAAACGATATTAAAACTTAATATCACGCGCTAATTCCAATAAATTAATTTTTAGTAAATCACGATCTTACTTATTTCCGAAAAACAAAAATAAAAAAAGAAATGAAAATATTCTTGAGGCTTCCACAGGTGTTTCCTATATGAACCTTGCAATCCACTTCATCAGGGCGATGAAATGGACTGATGAAGTGGACTGCAAGGTCCACGAAACGTTGGCATTTCAAGAATGGATCTGGACACGGAGAAAACCCGTGAAACGCATGATTTTCATAAAGAAATGAAAAGATTATGAACAAAATTTTTAACCGTTACTCTTAGTTCGTATTGATAAGCAGCAAAGTAAACAAAAATCAAATTAGTACTGCTACCCAGTAGAAAGAGTACATTTTTCCTGATAGTTACAATGCCTATACGAACGTTTGACAAAGAACACAAAGGCAATCTTATTAAAAGAAAAAGAATAGACTCATTAGATAAGATGCTCGCGCGCCACATATACCTGCTTGTTGACACTGCTCGTCGCCGCTCTGTTATCGGCTAGATAAGATTTCTGCGTCTTTGTCGTACCTGAAACATCAGTCGAACGTGCGAATTCATGCGGTACACCTCCGTGCGGTCGTACTTGAAAAAAAAAAAGATCTATGTCTCTTTGCTCCGAGATCGCGCGAACGAAAGCGCATAATCTTCTTTGACATCACTGTTCCTCAGTGGGCTTTCCGGCGCAGGATTCTCAATCCAGCTTGAAAGATTTCCCACGTCAACCTGAAGGGTGAGTTTCGCCAAAAAGTATAAGCGTCGCTAATTATGTTGCACATCATCGAATTCGCTCTGTCAAGATGACAATGCTATGATAGACGTTTCTCACCACACGTCTTAATCCGCGCGATCGATTATCTAATCGATTCACGGAAACATTGATTCGTATTCCTGATACCATTCTAGACTGATAAATTTCAAGATCGACTTGCATTCCGATGTCGATAAATTGAAGATGGCAACCAAGTGAAAAGGTTTCCTTCATCAGTATCGTAATGAGAGTATAAATAATAGATTGTTATTAGCTCGATTTGTGTATAATTTATACAATTTAATTTGACACTGTTGCGAAAAAATATAAAATACAGATTCAATATATTTTACATTATTTTATATTATGTTTATTTTATATCATTATTTTTAATATATTACTTTCAAATCTTATTACGGAAAGATATATAACTAGATTTTTATTGAGCAACGCATAATATTAATTGAAAGAAAAATATTACGTTTTATTTACACATTAAGAACTCAAAGCTCAATCCTCGCTCTATTAATTTATATATAGATTTATTTGCTATCAATTAGTATTGTGCTATCTTTTAAGTACTTAAACATTATGTGCAATAGGAAAATTTATATTTCTCAAAATTATCGTTATTTTTTATTATTAATTATCGTAATGCTTTTAGTTATCGCCGCATTTATATCTCTGTTCATGGGTAATTCTGGGTAACAAATAACTTGCAAAAAGGGACAGGAATGAGTAATAATTAGTAAATGAAGTCACGAAAAATAGCTATTCGTTACAAAGCAAATCATACGCACGTAACACGCGTGTGTCGCGTTAAGAAGAAAATTAATTATTGCCATACACACATATAGGCATAGATGAAGTTAATTAACCTCGGCAATGATTGTCGATACTATTGATTAAACGCGCCTGTAATAAAGAGGCATCTATATGTATAACTGACGTTATCAGACAATATTACCTTAATTGTCCGCGACTTGAAATGTATATGCAGACTTCTTCGCAAATATATCGATAAAACATTGGGCAATACTCAATTGCTGGCTACCTTAACACATATAACACGTGTTATCTTTGTGTTACGTGTATAAAATGTTTGCAAAATATAAAAGTATCACCACGTGAAGTAACAAAGTTCTAAAACTGGAAACTCATAATTAGCACAGAAAAGAATCTTTACATAATTATCAGAAGAAAAGAATATAAAATGTATGAAAAGAACATTTAAATTTTAAAAATATGCTTTGACTTCTTAGACTCTAGATTATAATTACTATTTTATTTTATTCTTAATTATTGGATAAGTTTATGATTGAGAAATTTGTAAACAAAATCTTTAAATAAATCTATGTTTAATGCTACGTTATTATTAATAAAAATAATTTTAATAAATATTAAAAATAAAAATTGTAAAATAAACATCTAAATTAATCAAATCTAAATATACTTTTCACAATAAATTGAGTTAAAAAAATTGTATGTTGAAAGAAAGGCGCTTGAGTTTCAAAACGAACTGTAAATTTTCCTCAATTATTGAAATTCGAATCATTGTTGCCCACAGACGATACATTCGGTTTAAAAATACACGAGTCTGAATATTTTAAGATTTAACGAGACAAGAATCGTATTATGTTTCATTTATCCTTGTCATTGGTTTTTCGCAACCGCATCATGACGTGCGCTTAAATATTGCCGGTGTATTTTCCGTCAGAGAAATCGACACCGAGCTCATTGTGCAACAAATTACAATATCGTTACGTTTTCATCATTTCCGGGACTCGTGACCTCGCAATTTTTACATAAACAACTGCACTGAAAAGCGAAGCGAAAAAAGTGTCGCGCGATGCGCTGGCAAATCATGTCGAGCGCATCGCCGCATAACGAGACGCAAACCGTAGTTATTCTCCCGAGACCTTAATTCCGAGCCGTTAACGAGGCATAGTTGTTTTTTCACAGACAGGAAATGTCGCACTAAGAGAATGGAATTGCGTGTAATTGTCGATCGACCACCGTTTTCGCCCTCGTTTTCCTCATCTTTCTCTTTGCATATTTTATCCATCACAATAAATAACGATTTCATATATTACAAGACATAAATATAAAATATTTATATGAATATAAAATAGTATGAATATACCTGTAGTATTTCAAGCAAGTCTTATTAAGTGTAATATGAGTCGGATAGTATTTTTCTTTACAAAAAACTTCTTTCAGTTATGAGGAAATCTGAAGTTTTTTTTCCGAATCTTCTGACTTTTCCTGTTACATAAAAGTAGTTTAATTCATTATGGAACACCGGAAGTGCGCGGTTTTTTCTTATCTTTATTTCGAAATGCGATGACAAAACGCGTGATTTGACTATTCGAATAATGAACAACGATACTATCGCTTCGTTAATTATAATTATATAATATTTGTAGCTTGATGCGCGCGATAAGATCTCGTAGGCTTGAATTCAGTTACTTCACAGCGATACAATTGCTTGTGAATCGCTTTTAAGACAATTTGTCCTATCACACAGATAGCTTTGAAATATTTCTTTTTTATTAGCCGGTTCTTATGGAAGAGATAATATACATTTAATGAATTTTTAAAAATCTTTCCGTAGAAAATCACTTATTAATTAATTGATTGCACGCAGAACTTATCGTGCATGCTTCAACGACCGTATAATCAGAGGATATATTTAGGGTTTGGGCAATCGTTTGCTCGTGCGTTTAATCAAATAGCGTTATCATAGTCTCAATATAGTGAGTACAATCCGATACGAGTCGACCTTGCATGAGTATAAGGAGGTTACGTATCATTAGAGAATTATGCGAAGATTGTATCTACGCAAATACTTTTGTGATTTATTAAATAATTATAATAATATTGTGACAATATGTAACACATAATTATCTTGAAATTTTATAGAAATTAATAATTATATGAAATGTTCAACCACTGATGAACTCAATATGAAGAATAGAATTGTATTGCTCTCGGAAAAAAAAACTTGTAAAAATTAATATCTAATTTTCTCTAAATTGTGATTGTTCATTTCTTGACTTTTTTTTAAAAACTTTTTTATGTTTAAGTCATAAATTTTCTTTTTTATTCGGTTATCGCAGTACATTCATTATTCAATGCTAGAATTTCAAAGATTCCGAAAAGAATTCTTCCAGCGTCAGTAAAAGAAAAGTCATTTTGACACCAAAGTCAAGAAATAATAATAATTGGCATAACCGAGGCTTTTAATGCGTCCTGAATAATGGATACGACTAAAAAATATCACCTCAAGATTCCTGCGCTGTTTGCATATCGGTGATAAACGAAGTGACGTCTCCTCGTGAAACAATACCCAGGGAAAAATTAGAAGCGAATAAATTCGCTTGCAATTTCGTGTGCACCTTGCAAAAGATTCTAATAAAATCGAATAACTCACCGTATCGCATCGTGACAAGATTAACAACAATGTGGATTTATCGAATGGTTTCACAATAAGATATGTGCGCACCTTGACGCATTTTTTGCGAAAGAGCGGTGCTGAAGAGGACAATAATTGCGAGTCTCAAATTTTAATAAAGAATTGAAGATGTTCCTATATCGCACTTGCAACTTGAAGCATTTTACATGTATATGAAACAAGCCGTGTAACTTTATAGAATATTCTTTTAAAGAACCAAAATTTCAGCAGTATCTTGAAGAAATCTGTATCAATGGTACCTATAAATTAACTTTTCTAGATATATTTATTTTAATTGAAATATACAAAAAAAGAAGAAAACGAAATTATGATTGAAATTATTTTAATCCCCTCTGAACAGGAATAAAATCTTCATGCTAAATCTAGAAAATTTGTTTTACTGCATTTTATATAAGGAATTAATTTATGGTAGTCACTACAAAATAATAAGCAATATTAATGCAACAATACAAATTGCAAATTAATTATCGCAAGCTCATTTATTTATTCGTTTATTATGACATTTACAATTTTGAAAGCTTCAGCATATTATATAGCGCTTCTTTCCAGAAGAGTTACCATAACTAGAAATCTTAACGAGAAGGAAAGGATGATCGGACTTGGTAAAATGTCGAGAATATTCTCATCATGAGCATGTGCTAATGCATTATGACGTCAAGGCACAATATATCACGTGCACCAAACACCATTAGCATAAGCATGTGACTACTGTGGTAGCAATCGACTCTCGCAGCGAGACCGAGTCGTATGAAAAAAAGAGCTGTGCGTCATGAAAAGTGGAGTAGTTATATGATGAGCGTAACGCGATCCGAACGAGTCGAGGTGCTCGACGAAGGAATCGAGTGCCGGTCATGAGTGACCTCCGCGTGAAGTGATATTGAAGAATAATTACTTGTTGAGAGCCGCTATGAAGAAAGGAACGTGATACGAGTGAGTGAGTGACCGAAATAATTGTCCTAGCATTACGTATTCCGCTCAATTATGACTATCAGCTTAATTAAACATTTCTTCGACGCAGACGGGAATAATTATTAGCCAGATATGGTTGGATGTATATATCAAACGATGAATAAAATTATACGTCATCTTAGATCAAATTAGTTATCTCTTTATTAATTTGTTCATTTACTTAAATTGATTACCCTGCGCAAAAATAATTAGACCTCTCTGAAACTTTGATTTTCGGCGAACTAATCAAGAAGAGAAAGAGAGAGAATTCTTTTCTAATGTTAAATATTACAGATGAAATAATTGTGGATAAAAATTACATTGTGAATTAATTAGCATGCCATCATCAGGGATGCAATTATATTAATAAATAAAAAAAGATTAAAATATTGCATAATTTTTTTATATATATGTATATATACACACATTATATAACATTTTATAAAGACTTATGTATTGTACATAAAAAGTGTGCATAAAAATTAATATTTTATATTACGAATTTCCAATATACATATATATCTGCATGTTTTTCTTATGTTTATCATGTATAAATTTATATTTATCTTTCTATAAAATAATACAAACACTAATGACGCTATGTTTAAAATAAATATTAAAGGAATACATTTCTTTCAGGTGTTAAAAGAATTTGCTTTGGACATGCTTTGGACGAAGATAACATGAGGTTCTCATGCTTCCCGAGGGCCAACATCCTCGGGCAGAGGGGTAGCATCAATCTCACCCCTCTGCCGGGCTACGAGGACTCTAGTTTCACAATAGGCGTCGTACGTCTTATTAACGTAATTTATAAATAAATCATTTATCAATTTTGTTTTATTTTAGAAGGGGTATAATTTTTATAAAAAATCATCTTTCTAATTAAAAGTTTTTCTTTTATTAAAATATTACTTCAATCTTTATTAGATACGTCCGTTACCTGGTACCTTGCCTCCTGTAAATGGCACTGTTTCGTCTTCATCCGAATCATTCACATCACTCACGAAAGTCATAGTGTCGTCACCGCCATCTGAAACCAATCATGTCAAACACCTTTCATCACATCAAGAAGAGTCCAGATTAGAAGATGCGGCTGCTGTGAACAATGGCGAACAACACGTGAATAATCCAAGGGGTGGCGTCATCGGAAGAACGCCAACGCCACCCTCGGCACCAACACCCGTATACGAGAAAGATGCTAGGTGACCAGAAAATAATTATGATAAATATTAATAAATAATTTGTAATATAATTTATGGTAGTTAGCATTGAAACTTACATAATAATTAATGAAGAATAATAATATTCGAAGATTATAAGTTTTGAATTGTCTATTATGTAATTATTTTCTAATCGATATAGGTTTGATTTTATTTCATTCCTTTCGAAAAAGTATAGAACGTAATATTATCGTCTTTTTTTTTTAGGAGTGCCAGGCAAATTAAAAGGGCTATATTGGAGAACGAATTTCTGGGTAATCTTGAAGAAAATCAGATGGAGTCACTCGTTTCTGCCATGTATCCAAAACAAATTCTCGCTAATACTCAAGTTATCCGAGAGGGCGATATAGGTATAGCCTCTTTTTGCGAAAACTTAATATAAATTCTAGAAATATATTACTACACGTCTACAGAACAATTACTTAATAAATATTAATGTACGTAGTTACAGTAAAAATGTAAATTTTTTTAAGTGTAATATTCATCCACAGGATCGCACTTGTATGTGTCGGCGGAAGGAGATTTCGACATTTACGAGGGGAACAAATTCCAAAGAAGTTTCGGACCAGGAGTTGCGTTTGGAGAAATTGCTCTATTGTATAACACGAAAAGACTTCGATCTATTAGGGGTAAGTGTGAAAAATGAATAAAAAATTCGACATATTTCTAAAAATTTATTACACGTTTTAGGAAATATTTCTCAAAATTAAATACAAATATATTTAAGTTTATATAAATATTACAAAAAAAGAAATTTTGTAAGTTTTATAAAACAAGCTGCATGTATATTCAAATCTGTAGTAAAATTTACAATATTATTAAACACATTATGTATCATGGAAATTTGAGAAATTTCCTTGAGAACTAAGAAGCGCTTTCTTTTAAATTAATTATATATATGTCCAATTTTGTGTTATTTCAGTAAAGAAAGCTGGAAAAGTATGGGTTCTCGACAGATCAGTGTTTTTAACTATAATGATGAGAACAGCTCAGGAACAACTGGAGGGCAACATCCGTTTCCTCCAACGCGTTTCCGTTCTTCAAAAACTTCCGGAACCCAAGGATCATGTGCTCGCGAAGATATCCGATCTTATAAGAGTAGTAAGTAAGAAGATATTTTAAAAGATACCATTCTGCTCGCCGCTTAGTTTATAATATGGCTTAAAAGAACGTTATAATAATGCTTGCAGGAATTTTTCCCGGCTGGAGCGAAAATACTGCGACAAGGCGAGAAGGGTGAGAAATTCTATATAATCAGCGGCGGCAACGTACGAATCACCAAAGACATCGAGTACGGAGGCGAGGAGGAATTAGTAGTTCTCGGCAAAGGAGATTACTTCGGCGAATTGGCTCTCTACGATGACGAGGGTGAACGACGTGCCAACGCGATCGCGCTTGCACCTGGTGTCGAATGCTTGACTCTGGATAGAACGTGAGTTCAATTAATACACCCGCGTCATTTTGTAATTAATAAATCTCTGAAGTCAAATTAATTGTATGTGTCGTCAAATTAAACAAATTAAAAAAAATATAAGTTGCAAAAGCTATCTTAATTTCTATGAAATATCCGTGAATTATTTAATTTAAGATATCAGTCGTTTATTTTAAATTGTAACATTTTTATTTATTTTGATATTTTACTTCATTTTAAGATAAATTTGAAAAATTAAGAAACTTATCTCTTAAGATTGTTACTATTATTAATTATTATTATACAAAATTATTATTTTATTTTACAAAGAGACATTTATATTTAGTCAATGACGATTTTAAGACAGTTTTTTTCATGTATTGTAAATATAAAATGTTAAAAATATTACATAATTCGAAGAAATTGCCAGGTCATTCCTGAACTATCTGGGTAGTCTGGATGAAATTCGTAACAAGGACTGGTTAGCTGAATACGAGAAGCAAAAGCGTTCGTTGACCCCAAAGAAGTGGACTAACGAGTATGCAAATTTAACCTTGATCGACCTTGAAACGAGGGGAACGTTAGGAGTTGGTGGATTCGGCCGTGTTGAATTGGTGACACTCAGATCCGACCCGAATAAGAGCTTCGCTCTAAAAAAACTCAAGAAGAAGGTCATGGTTGAGCAACAACAGCAAGAACACGTGCTGAATGAGAAACATATTATGCAAGCGTGCGATTCTCCTTTCATATGCAAGTAAGTATCTTTCACTGAAGTTTGATATTACAATGTACATCACGATTAATTTGTATAATATAATATTATGAAACTACCATTGCTAGTATAAAATGATATTTCAAATCAATATAAGATAAATATATTTTAATTTATTTCTATTTCTCAATTGTTGATAAACTGTAAAAACAATTAACATCGTAAAATTTGTAATTTACATCAAGATTAATAAAAATATATAAACAAAAAAATTGATCAATAAATTTTAATCAAGTACTAAAAGAATTTTTAAACAATAATTAGACTGAAGTTAATATAATTTTGTATTTTTTTAGGCTTTATCAAACATACAAGGATAGCAAGTACGTCTATTTTCTCATGGAAGTGTGTCTCGGTGGAGATGTTTGGACGACTCTTCAAAGGAGACGTCTTTTCGATGACGCCACTACACAGTTTATGGTCGGCTGTGTAGTAGAAGCCCTCGATCATCTTCACTCACTGAACATTGTTTACCGAGATCTCAAACCGGAAAATCTTATGCTCGACACACGTGGCTATCTAAAGTTGGTGAGACACTCAATTTTTAATTATAATAAATTAACTTCCAATTACGTGATTATTAAAGTTTCTTCGAAATATACATTTAGATATTATTATAATCGGGCCTGCTGCTGAAACATAAGGTACAAAGGAGATTTTGCCGCCCCCCTTAATATTTTTATTTACCAATCTTTTAAATAGGATAGTTTTTAAATAATTTTCTAAATATCTTTTTATAGAGGATGAAATTTGATTATGAAACTAGACAGAAATCTGAAAAAGATAAAAATTTTTTTATTGAAATTAATAGAGAAAATTTTTACGTTTCTGTTCTAGGAAAACGATCGATATCTTGACGGTAAAATGGTTTTGTATGTACTGGAAAATTTTAGTAGCGTCAGGAAATAAACAATTATTTGTTCCAACGGTTGGTGATGTACAGTACAAGTTTTAGAAAAAATTAAGTCTAACAGAAGCGCGAACACATGCAATTGGTGTTAGGAATGGAGAATTGATTTTTTTGAAACTTAATTTGTCGCCTTCTTTGTTAATACTTCTTTATTGTGCAGTATATAACTTACACACCTGCCTACTGCAGCAGGCCCGATTCATGTGAGAATGAGAAATCCTACAAGAAAAAAATTATCTCTCTTCCATAGGTGGACTTCGGTTTTAGTAAGAAAATTGGTCCGGCCAAAACGTGGACGTTTGCCGGTACGCCAGAGTATGTCGCACCGGAAATTATTTTGAATAAAGGCCATGACAGGTAAGAAATTTAAGAATGTTCCAACGTTCATTATAATTGTTATATTGTTTCTATATTTTTCTATATTTATATATTATTGTCTCTATATATTTTTCTATGTGTTTCCCATCACATTTAATTCTTCATTTCGTTAGAGCGGTGGATTACTGGGCTCTTGGCATCCTAACACATGAGCTTCTCGTTGGTAAGCCGCCTTTCCGAGGTTCCGATCATATGACGACTTATAACAATATTCTCAAAGGGATCGAAATGGTTAGTATACCAAACATTGTCAACAAAAACGCTAATAATCTCATCAAGAAACTACTCCGTTTGAACGCTTCCGAACGATTGGGTTACCAGCGAAACGGGATACAAGATATTCGCGATCACAAGTAAGTCGTTAAAAATATTTTACAAAGAAAAAAAATATTTATATCTTTAAAAATATTTCATAAATTATGTTATATACGTATAATAATAATATCTTTAAGGAACGTTTCATGTTTAAATATCTTTATAAGGGGAAACATTTTGTAAAAGAAATGTTCTATTTTATAAAATGTTAAAATAAGATGCTTTCCAATTAATATAATATAAAATAGAGAAAAAATAGTAGTGTATAGGTTTTCATTTTGTTTTTTAATTTTTAATTTTTTTAGTTATATAAATGTAAATGTATATTTAGTTATACATAAATTTTAATACTGAGAGAAATGATTTTGTTATAGGAACAAATCAAGGGAAAACAAATGTGATATTTGTTAAGAAAACAATCGATTAGTTACTATTGCAAATTAATTATTTCTCATTCGTCAATGTAACAAATAATCAATAGTATAGCTAGCAAATAATCCAGGTAGTAAAGTTTGTCATTTTGACGTCATATTTTGGGCCTTTACTGACCATTATACTACCAACTGGCGACTTATGATGTCAATATGACGTCACGGAATGACATTACGAAAATGACGTCAGTATGCCGGCACGAAATAACATCATACTGACGTCATGAAATGACGTCTAATAAAACCTATGGTCACTTTTTGGTCACTTGACATCATTTGTACAAACATGACTTCAATTTGACGTCAAAATGACAAACTTTGCTACCTGGGAAAAGGCTCATATATATATATATATATATATACATAGAAGTCGTAGACGGTCGTAAGGTCTCAAATCGTAAGAAATTGACTAATTCTAGTCAAGTATTTTCTCTATATTTGATTGTAATTGATCAGTTTCTTATGACTTAAGATTCCACGATCGTCTATGATTTCTATGATAAACGATCCTAAAATCTATCTAAAAGGTTAGAGTTTGCTTCTATTACTAATAATTAGTTGGTATAGCAGACTGGTAGCAATCACAACAAATCAATTTTGTTGTCACATATTTACCGATCACTTGTTAAAAGTACTGGTGGCGCTTGTTAAATTAACAAAATCCTTTCTCTCAGTAAAGTAGCCTGTGTTTCATCTTTTCTTTTATAATAACTTTTATCTTTGTCCTTTTAACAGATGGTTTTCCGGATTCAACTGGCAAGCGCTTCAAAGATTGGCTCTACCAGCTCCCATTGTACCAACGGTATATTAAATAAAACACGCTTTCAATTTTTTTATTTTTCATGCAAAAATTTTATTTAAAATTTGTATTAAAATCATCTATTTTATTTGTGCATTTCTAGGTACGACATCAACTCGATACACGAAACTTTGAAAGATATCCACCTGATCGCGATATTCCACCGGATGAATTTTCCGGCTGGGACATGGAATTCTGAAAATAAATTCTTGGTGTAACACAGATAGATACAATAATTACATCTTTGTGCTATCAAAAAATGCATTTGTTAACTGTGTCTGTTATAGAAATATTAATTGTTATAGCTCTTTTATTAATTATTACTAAAATGTAATTATAACAAGGATACTAAAATATCAACTCGATATGTTTTTAAGATGTAAAAATAGATAACTGCATTATAGATTAAGACATTTGTTAATAGTTACTTAACAATAAGTAGCCTTTTAAAAAAAAAATGTTTACTTAACATTTCCGATCAGTCTTTTTATAAAATTGAACAGAGTATTATTTTCTTGAAATCATTCGCTCATAAAATTCGTCGATTCATATAATCAATTAGAATTTCTAGTTTTTCTTAACGACTAATTGGTAAAAAATAATTTACTAATGTAAGAAATTATATTATATATTTCTTTATAAGCACTCACTAATATATTCCGGTGTATCTTAGATACAAATGAATATACGTAATATTTTAACAATATTTTGGATAATTATTTAGAATACGGACCAATCGAATAAGCCCAATTTCATCAACATCGAAGATGAGGCACGTATTCTAAATAATTACCATATTTTGTTTTGTTAAAAAAAAGATGATATTTATAATTTATAAAATATAATCTTGAATGTTTCTAAATATAACAAGAAGTTTAACATTTTAAAATTAGTCAAATTGCATAATTATAAAGATTGCAAAGGTATCTTGAAATAATGACGTATCATCTCGAAATAAATAAATAATTTTGTAATTATGACTATCGTATAATATACCATACATCTCTTAGACGAAAAAAAAAATATTACTCTAATTTTAAATATTGGCTACGTATTATGAAATTATTCGGAATGAATTCCGATCAAAACTTATTTTTTTACTTTTGTTTTTTTTTTATAAAACAAAACATTGTGTTTTTTTAAACTCTGTTTTTATGCTTCATACATGCTTTAAACAATACTATAAAAAATACGTATTTAAAACATTTTAAAAACATTGGTCAAGCATGTTTTAAACGTTTAAAGCATGTTTAAAAGATGATTTTTATCAAACGCCCAATGCGCATCTTGGAGCCTTTGTTCCGCGCTGTGGGCAATTTGAAAAAAGCCGCGTCGGCGAGCGAGTGGTGAGGGGCGATGCGCGCGTCGCTATTGGCCGGCGCTCGCGGCCGCATTCCTCCATCAGCTGTGCGTAGTGGCGCGCGTGGTCGGCGCCGTCTCCGCAGTCCGCGGGCCTGGCGGCAGTCGTGTATCGTATCGCGGGGCGATTGTGGGCGAACGTGGACTCGCGCGCAAATGGCGTCGTCGCCGTGCCGTTATGAGCGAGTGTGTGCCGTGCAATAACGCGTACGGGCCGCGTCCGGGTGCGACGCCTCGCGGCCCAGCCTGACGAAGGAGCGAACGCGAACGCGCCGAGACCCTCGGGTGTGGGTCTGGCTGGCGAGCGTGTGTGCCTCTCGACCGCCGACGGGGATCGGGAAGAAATAATTTTCGGAGCGTGTACCCCCCTGCGGCGCGGGCGGGCCTGCATTGGCCACATCGACGGCAGAGGCGACGGGGAACGGTGACGGAGAGTTGTGAGATAGGTCCAAAAGGTGAGTGCGATGGAGGCTCGTCTCGTCCCTACTTGGTCGCGTGTGTATGTATATACATATGTGCGCAATTCATCGCAAAGTGCGTTCGCTCGCTTGCACGCACGCGCGCGCGCACACACATACGTCGCACATTCGTACGCGGATTATTCCCGCGGATTGGACCAACATCTGGTGCACGACATCGAACGGTCGCGTTTTTTTCTTGATCGTCGAGGGGACAGCCGTGGACGCGAAACAGGAATGATAACGACTCGGGAGACGCGGAGGCTTAATTGCGCTATTTGATCTGTGGGCGGAGAGAAAGAGAGAGAGAGAGAGAGAGAGAGAGAGAGACAACGAACAGCAGCAACAGCAGTAACGATTATATAGAAACGTGCGGGCGATTTCCATGAAACGCCAGGCTCGCGATAAAAATCGTGGCGCAGAGTGGAGTGACGCGACCGCGATAAGGAGAACCGATGCGCCTCAGCCGATTCCCAACGAGTGTCGAACAATTTGTCCTATAGAGAGAAAAAGAGAGATAGAGAGAATCTAAACAGACGAGAGGGCAACAATATGTAAAAAATTACGTAGCGAGAAAAAAGTCGTGTGTACATCGTCGCCCGTTTGTTTAGGTACACACGCCGTATTCTTTGTTTCCCTTCTCCTTTCTGCTCCTATTTCTTAAACGCGGAGCTTTCGGCTTGTTGAAACGGGTGGATGTTTCATTGCGCCTAACATAAACTATTTCAGCGATATACATATAGATCGCTTTTATATTTAACACCAGAACTACTGGAGTAGTCAGAGAAATGATTGGTAACTTTTGTAATTTTGTAATTTTTTTTGTCAGATTTTAACGGTGCATTTTCTGAGATTTTCTGCAATTTTTTTCGTTACGATGTGTATGTGATTAAATTAATTTATTTATTTTTTCCTCTCGTCCCTTTTTTCGAAGATCTATACATACATCTTTGATAAAATATCTATACATACATCTTTGATAAAAAAGATATTAAGTATCTTGTTAACCATTTTATTTCATGTTTTAGTTCAAAGATTGAGTTCTGGCATTTGCTATAAATATTTTATTCTTTGTTTCAAGAATTTTAACTTCAGTCATCAGTAATTAACATCGGCAATTGACAGAAAACATTACAGATAAAAAAATTTTAGATTAATGAAAAAAATATAAGTGCCTATTTTTGGCCAAGGTTGTTATATGAATAATATATATTTAATATTTTTAATATATTTGAGTATATTTAATATATATATTTAAATAATAGAAATACGTTAATTATCGGTGCCTCTAATGTTAAAATTATTTTGAGTCTGATCATTATACAATTAGAGATTATCCCATCCAGTCGATGAAATGATTCATATAATACATAGAAAGAAAATATAAGGCTGAAATATCGTTTTTAAGACTTTTTATCTTCACGATGCTAGAAATCGCTCCGAGATCTCACACGAAGAAAGAATTAACAAATTGCACAACAAAGAATCAACAATTCCGCTAATCAACCAATGCAATTGGTCAACTCTTTATTCGTCCCAAATCTCAGAACAATTTTTAACATCGCGGATACAATTTGGAATTACTTATTGACAAATATGATGCGTGTACCACTGCTATATTTCCTCGTACGTGGGCATTTGTTTCCATATACGATTTTTTGCCTATTCTTCTCCAACGTGAAATGATGTAAGGAGGCAACATGTAAATACACGCGTTCGACCGCTGTTATTATCGTCCCCGACGTCCCTAATAATCCTTATTGTCAGAACTCAATGAAAGGTAGAAATTCCTGAGCTGCTAAAGGAGTTACTCCTATTTGCTCGGCGTGTAAATATTATGTCAGAAACATTAGGGACGTGTTTGGTGCTTCCGGCGAATCAAAACAGAGTAAATGATAAAAACACCTCTGCGAGATACTACGTCTTCGTTTCTTTTTGCATTACTTTTTTACGTATTAAGGTGACGTCGAATGTTTCGAAGCAAAATTTAAAATTCTGTGTCTAACTGGGGTAGCAATCTTGAATAAATTTAATTGTTTTTAAATTTTATAAATACAGGAAGAGACACAGATGTAGTAATACTGGCAATAAATTGTATGAACGGGTTAAAAATAATGGCATCGTTTTATGTAATAATGTAATCCAAGTTAATCTTGATTTAGCTTATATTCTTCTCTGTTAATATGTATAAAAAACCATGTTTTTTTCAATTATACTAAGAAACGGAGGTGATGTCGATCTTTCGCGCGCGCATGCGAAGTAAAATTTAGGTTTCTATTCAATTGAGATAGCAATCTCGAATAAATTTAATTTTTTTTAAATTGTATTAATACACGAAGAACATGGATGTAATGTTAGCAATAAATCACACGAACGGGTTAAAAATAATAGCATAGTTTTATGTAATAATATAATCTAAGTTAAAAAATCTTGGTTTAACCTACATTCTTTATTATAAATCGTGTTTCAGTTAGATAAGTTAATGTGACATAATTAATAATTGCATAATATTGCACAATTGACACAGCAGATGATGATGATGATGATTCTATCATTTTATTAGAAAGATTTGATTTATGTATATGATGTAGATTATCAGTTGGTGCAAAGCCACAAAATCAAGTTATCATTATTTACTCATTTCATTTATTTATTTGATTTACTTTCTTACTTGTTATCTGGCTTGATAAATATACATAATAATATACACAAATACGTCCACGCGCACCTTTAATTATTACATTGATCAATCGGATTTCATTGTTAATTATATCTATGAGTAATAGTGCAATTTAAATATTTGAAATACAAGAAGTGTAAAGGCTCGAGTGGTATACAATCAAATGAATAAAGAAAAGCCTATAAGAGCCGACACTAGTTTTTCGTATGTAAAAAATATGTTTATTGGTAAATATCTAGATGTTCCGGCCACATTATTTTGATCATTTTCAGTAACTGACGCAATATGAACTGTACGCTATTAAAATGAGTCGCTTGGTACATTTATAATAATAAAAATGTGTCCAAATTTAAAATCTTTATAGTATTTGATTAAATATTTGATTAATGTAGTAACAGTATGTATGATTTTTAAAATCTTTTTTATGCTGAAAAGGATAGGATTTTACACTTAAATTAGAAATACGAGATTTTCCACTGTTCGACCTAAGTCAGAAATAACAGCCGGTTTTTCCCGCTGCGACGGATTAGACGAAGAAATGCCAAAAACACGTCGTCATCAAACTGTAAATCAAAATTTTATTAACGCGCACCAATATATCAATGCTATAAATTGTGTAAATTCCATTGACTATAACTTAATCATACCTTGTTCCATATGATCTTGGAAATTGGTATTCGTTGCACCTACGTGACTACTTTTAAACAAGATATTCTTGTGTACATAAAACGAGATCCC